TTGACTATGGCAGAACTTAAGGACCTTACTGCAAATAATTTATGCATTTTCTATGGTTTTTTGGGTATTAGAGAGGAAGAAGAAAGATGAAGAAGAATTGTACTTGATGTTAAATGAGATTGATATATATATATATATAAGAGTTCTATTTTTATATTAAATTAAATAAAAGTTGTGTGATTGGTAAGTCTAGTCATATGAAGGAGAGCTCTATTTTATGTTAAATATAAAAGAACTATATTTTGACTTATTATAATGATGTGACTTATAATATTTTTATGAAGTTTTTAAATATATAAATTTTATTTTAAAAAATTAAAATTTTATGTCCGAATTTACATTAGAAAAATAGTTAATTTGCCTATTGTATTCCAAATGAGGGTCAGCTAAATTGAAACAATAGTAGAAGTAGTATTCTCCAAAAAATCATAATTTATTTCCACTTCATAGTTATATTTCATCTTTGTAATCATTTGTTATAATTCAAATTCAGAAAAATATGTTTAAATATCAAAGAGAAAAAGAGAAGAATTTAAATTTGTAATACATCCCCAAAAATATATCAAGATAAATTGACTATAAGAAGTTATTAGTAACATTTTTGTAATTCAAATGTTGAAAAAAAAAATCCAATAAACAACAATTAGGAGTCGTTTGGGGTGAAGTATAAGGTATAATAGTCTCAGGGATAAAATGCAGGATTATCTTATTCTGCATTTGGTTGGAGGTATCAGACAGTCCTGAGATATTTATCCCATCATTTATATCTTAGTGATGAGATAAGTTGTACCATATGTATATGGTGGAATAACTTATCCCAAGATAATTTATGCTAAAATAATAAATCCAGAATAACTTGTTCCAACCAAATGACCCTCATTCACTTTAATTAATAAAAATAAAGGCCTCTCATCCATATTGACTTCAGACCATAAATAATGTTGAGATTCACTTTAATTAGTAAAAATAAAGGCCTCTCATCCATATTGACTTCAGACCATAAATAATGTTGAGATTCACTTTAATTAGTAAAAATAAAGGCCTCTCATCCATATTGACTTCAGACCATAAATAATGTTGAGATTCACTTTAATTAGTAAAAATAAAGGCCTCTCATCCATATTGACTTCAGACCATAAATAATGTTGAGATTCACTTTAATTAGTAAAAATAAAGGCCTCTCATCCATATTGACTTCAGACCATAAATAATGTTGAGATTCACTTTAATTAGTAAAAATAAAGGCCTCTCATCCATATTGACTTCAGACCATAAATAATGTTGAGATTCACTTTAATTAGTAAAAATAAAGGCCTCTCATCCATATTGACTTCAGACCATAAATAATGTTGAGATTCACTTTAATTAGTAAAAATAAAGGCCTCTCATCCATATTGACTTCAGACCATAAATAATGTTGAGATTCACTTTAATTAGTAAAAATAAAGGCCTCTCATCCATATTGACTTCAGACCAGAAATAATGTTGAGCCACCCTGTTTGAATTCAACCAAACAAGTATGTATGGATTCCAACCTTTGAAATATAAAAAAAAAACGAAAGCATTTTCATACACTAAATTTTTGCTATACACAAAATTATTAGAAGAAAGGTCGGGATCATAAGAAGCTATTGTATCAATGTTAAATAGCTATTGTATCAAATCTTATTTAACATTTTTGTAAGAAAATATTTCCATCATTGAAATCCATAATTTTCTAATTATACGATAATAACTTTATCAATTAAAGTAAATCTCTCGTTCCAAAAATATATGGAGGAAAATGGACTTTTTAAGAAAGCACTCATTTATTATTATTGAACCACCTAAAGATATCTGTTGTACTTGTTTGACCGAATCTAAATATTTTCATCAATTAATAACATTTTTTTTTCTATTCGGTATCTAGTATTTATATTAAAGCACACTTAAATTTAAATTTGCATTGAAAAATTCCACATTGAGGTAAAACCTCTGATTAAAAATGAAGAAGTATTTACCACTCCACCACAACTTTTATTAATCATCAATTAATAACGAAAAAAACTTACCCGTACCAAATGTTTACACCAAGCCAATTAATAACATCACATTACATTTATAGAACAATACATTGGAGATGGGGTCCATATATAACGTGAGGAGCTATAGGCCTTTCAGAGTTAGGTACAAAAGAACAACTAAGAATATTTTATTAAAAAATGATTTTTCTTTAAATAAATTTTACGCCATAAAATTTAAAAAATTAAAATTTCATACGAATATCAAATATAGAAAAAATTTCCATATTGACGATCTCAAACCTTCTATCACCAAAAAAAGAAGAAGAAGAAGGTGGGTATAGTAAAGTAAAAATGCATTCTTTTCTTATAATTTAATAACGCATTTATTTACCTATTTAATTTCTTTTAAAGCATATGATAAAATTCTCATTATATTCTCACCTGATAAAATTAAAGACAAAAGAAAATCACCAATTTTTATAAATAGTGTTTGTTCGGTGGCGGAGAATTTGAATTTTAAATTGGGAAAAGGACAAGTATATCCCGAACTATCGTAAATGGTATGCAAATACCCTCCGTCATAATTTTCGGACATTGATGCCTCTGTCGTCCAAAAACTAAAGCATATATGTCTTTCACTCTAATGGAAGACTAAATAGGGACACGTGGTGCAATCTTATCCGTCGATACGATATTTAATAAATGTTGGATCGGTGATAAGATTATGACACGTGTATGTCTGTTAGTATAAAGAATATATATGCTCTAGTTTTTGGGCGGCAGGGGCACCAATGTCCCAAAAGTATGACGGAGTGTATCTACATATCATTTACGATAGTTCGGGATATATTTATCCTTTTTTCCTTTTAAATTTAAATTTACATGAAAATAATATCAAAAAATGGAAAATAAAAATAATTGATCTATTGTCAGGAAAGACTCTCTTCTCAATTATTTAAGAATTAGAGTTGTGTTTAATTTATTTTATCTATATATAAACACATGTTTTCCTCTTCTGATCAAAAAAGAAAAACAAAAGTAAATGAATTTTGTTCAAATTTCATTTCACTTCATTTTGTGGGTCATTTTTCAATTCACGTTACACTTTATTTTTTAAAGTTATCTTGAAATCCAATACAACTTGTATCAAGGGTTTTCATTAAGCTTGATATTGAATTTAATGGATTTAGAGTGTTTGGCAATTATTAAAATGACTTATTTTAAGTCAAAAATGACTTATTTTAAGCCAAAAGCTAAAAGCTAGGGGGGGGAGCCTTTTTTTTTTTAACTAAAAGCACTTTTATGTTGACCAAGTATATTACCTTTTTGCCCTTAATTCTTTTATACAATTTCCAAATTTTCCATATTGAATTATTATTATTATTATTAT